GTATATATTTATACTTCTCATCCAAACACAATTAAATTCACTCTATCCAGGAGACACAATTTATCAGGATAGTATTTTTTTAAGTAATAACTCAGAATAAAACAGGAGTAACGACTTTCTACTTCTTACCTTTTTAAAAAATGTAGTGAGTAGAAAGTACAGATAATTGTGTAAAAATGTAATGAGCAAAAGTAAAAAGTACACTGAAAAATAATAACTCAAGTAAAGTACAGATAAATTCTACTTAAGTACAGTAACAAAGTATTTGTACTCAGTTACTTTACAACTGATTATTAATAAAAAAAGGTTCTGTTCAGTCGGACCTGTGTCGGTTCTGAGACCTGAYCCTGAAGGAAACAGAACCTGATGAGAAGCTGCGGGCTCTCAGTCCTGTTGCTGGACTTTGTGGTCCGGTTGTGGTCCAGGCTCTGGGTCGGGGTTCTACAGGTCCAGATGGGTCCTGATGTCCAGACTTGCAGTTTATTAGTCAGTCTTGATGGTTCCGAACAGGATCATCTGTAGTTCTGATCCAGAGGAGGTGTCACGCACGTGCACGTGCGTGCGCGCTCCTGCAGAGTGGGCCGAACCGGGAGGGTCCGGTTGAAGCCCCCCCTCTGCAGTTCCTCAGTCTCAGTCTGGTTCGGGAGCAGTGAACCGGGCCTGACTGATGGAGACCTGTGGAAACCAGACCAGCTGAGGCTGACTGGACCAGGACCAGGACCAGGACCAGGACCAGGACCAGGGACGTGTGTGGAGAACCGGAACAGAACCATGTCTGAGGCGGGACGCTGCCTGAACAAGAGGCCTTCCGGGCCTCCAGAACCAGCTGTGGGCCGGTGAGTGCTGCAGGACCGAGCCGCCTCCTCGAACCGAACCGAACCGAACCTTCAGGATGCAGACTTCTGCTCCAAGAGACCGTTAGACCCGGATCCTGTTTCAGCATCCAGAACTTTTGTGCGCGCGCGCGCGCGTGTGAAGATGAGTGTGGTCTCGCGCTTCCCGCACCCCTCCATCATGCACCCCCACGAGTCCCACCGGTACTCCTTCCACGCTGCTGCCGGTACCGGGCGGTGCCACGAGGACCCCGGAGCCCCCCCGTACTTCAGCTGGCTCATCGGTCACGCGGACGTGTCCCCCTCAGAGTACGAGCACGCGCCCGCCTTCAGCCCGGAGTACCACCCGTTCGGCGGCGGCGGGTCGGACCAGGTCCACCATCACCACTGCGGTCCCGGAGGCCTGATCCCGGGCCCCGGGACCCTGTCCGTGAACGTGCACCAGCAGCACGCGCACCCGCGGACCTTGAAGCGCAGACCCACGGCCAACCGGAAGGAGCGGCGGCGGACCCAGAGCATCAACTCGGCCTTTGCAGAACTCCGGGAGTGCATCCCGAACGTCCCGGCCGACACCAAGTTGTCCAAGATCAAGACCCTGAGGCTCGCCACCAGCTACATCTCCTACCTGATGGACGTCCTGGACCGGGACGGACAGCACGGAGACACCCAGGCCTTCAGGGCCGACCTGAAGAGGCCCGAGGCCCGGGAGGAGCGCAGGAAGAGGGACACGGTAAGAACCGTCCAGAGACCGGACCCGGAGATCCAGAACTGTCCGAGCTCTGGTCCGGATCAGAGGACCAGGAAAATGAAATAAAATAAAATTAAATGAAATTAAATTAAACAAAATAAAATAAAATAAAATAAAACGAA